CCGGAGTCCACTAGCTTCCCCTCCCAACCAACCACCCTCACTCCCCCCGGGAGCAGGGTAGGCGGGGTGGGGGTCAGCCGGGAGCCAGCAAGGATAAACCCAGGGGGTGGGTCGGCGTTGCGGGCGGGCGGACGGACGGATGGGATGCAGACGCACACACTCGGGCGGGGGTAGAATCGAAGCCTACACCAGCTCGTTCCCTACGCTGCCCCTGGGGGCTCGATTCACCACGCCGGGTGACTCAACCAAACCCACCGAACATCCCCCAGCCCTCGCAGGGCGTGGGGCGGGGGCACGGGCCGAGTATCGGCGCGGGGGAAACGGACTCCAGGGGGGCGGGCTGGCGGGCGGGCTGAGCAGCAGACAAGCTCTGGGTCATTTAGCCAGACAGGCCATCTGGGTCCTTACCCACAGATCGGGGCGGGAAGGGGGGGCGCTGTGTGCTGAGGGACACCCCCACGCCTCCCTGATAGAGCGCCCAGGACGGGGAGGATCTGCCACACCCAAAGAGGCCGACCCCATTGGTGCTTTGGGGGGCCTGGGTGGGGGCCTAGCCCCTGGGGCGCCACACTAGCTCCTATCGATCAGTCACAACTGGCGACTGGACTGTCAGAGACTAAGTCCGTAAATTGTCGCCTTCCCCGAAACCCTGATGGCAGGTCAGAGATTGTGGGTGTCGGGCAAAAACCTCCAGGCGCGGGACGTCCCGACAAGTAGGCCGGGAAGGGTGGTCTCCCGTCGGGCATGGTTTGGTGGGCTCGGGCCTGGGTCTAACCAACGCCCCGGTGAGCGCCAGGCATAATGTTTTCCTGCTGGACCTTGGCGCTAGATGCATAACGTTTTCCTGCTGGACCTTGGCGCTAGATGCATAAAGATGTGCCGCTGGTGAACCATTGATGGAGCCGCTGGTGAACTATTGATGGAGACTCTGGCCTCCAGCGGTGGGGGCCCTGTGCCCGGCGTGCAATGCCCGAGGTACACACACTCTCCGGGGATGGCAAGCCCAGCCCAGCTCCCCTCCCTGGCCCGGAGACTCTGACATCCAGCGGTGGGGGCCCCGTGCCCGGCGCGCAATGCCCGAGGTACACACACCCTCCGGGGATGGCAAGCCCAGCCCAGCTCCCCTCCCTGGCCCGGAGACTCTGACATCCAGCGGTGGGGGCCCTGTGCCCGGCGCGCAATGCCCGAGGTACACACACTCTCCGGGAGCAAGCGCTGGTTCCAAAGGACCCTCCAGATTTGCACCTAATCACCAGCAGTGCCCGGGCACCCCACTATTAAGCCCGGGGACACTAACTCCTCTAAACCGCACGGACAAGACAGACGTGCTGCTGGTGACCCAACTGGCCAAGACGTACCGCTGGTGGCCCAATCGGTCTTTGGGTTTGTGAATGGGTCACCACCGGCCTTGGGCTCGTGTATGGGGCACCAGCCGCACGTTGTTCTAACCTCCGTGAGCGATAAGGTCTCATGTTTGCTGCGGGGTGACGGACGCTGGGAGACGGGTTAGCAGCTCAGCCATGGACCCCTGACTCCCATGGTGTTCAGCCCACTGGCCTTGCCCGTGTTTGAACGCTTGTTTTGGGGCAGCTTTGCTGGCCAATGAGGCCTGGGTCCTTCGTAGGACCAGGGCAGCAGCGCGCACTTGGTTTGCCCGGGTTTGAACGCTTGTTTTGGGGCAGCTTTGCTGGCCATTGAGGCCTGGGTCCTTTGTAGGACCAGGGCAGCAGCGCGCACTTGGTTTGCCCGGGTTTGAACGCTTGTTTTGGGGCAGCTTTGCTGGCCATTGAGGCCTGGGTCCTTCGTAGGACCAGGGCAGCAGCGCGCACTTGGTTTGCCCGGGTTTGAACGCTTGTTTAGGGGCAGCTTTGCTGGCCATTGAGGCCTGGGTCCTTCGTAGGACCAGGGCAGCAGCGCGCACTTGGTTTGCCCGGGTTTGAATGCTTGTTTTGGGACAGCTTTGCTGGCCAATGAGGCCTGGGTCCTTCGTAGGACCAGGGCAGCAGCGCCCACTTGGTTTGCCCGGGTTTGAACGCTTGTTTTGGGGCAGCTTTGCTGGCCATTGAGGCCTGGGTCCTTCGTAGGACCAGGGCGGCAGCGCCCACTTGGTTTGCCCGGGTTTGAACGCTTGTTTTGGGGCAGCTTTGCTGGCCATTGAGGCCTGGGTCCTTCGTAGGACCAGGGCAGCAGGGCGCACTTGGTTTGCCCGGGTTTGAACGCTTGTTTTGGGGCAGCTTTGCTGGCCATTGAGGCCTGGGTCCTTCGTAGGACCAGGGCAGCAGCGCGCACTTGGTTTGCCCGGGTTTGAACGCTTGTTTTGGGGCAGCTTTGCTGGCCAATGAGGCCTGGGTCCTTCGTAGGACCAGGGCAGCAGCGCCCACTTGGTTTGCCCGGGTTTGAACGCTTGTTTTGGGGCAGCTTTGCTGGCCATTGAGGCCTGGGTCCTTCGTAGGACCAGGGCAGCAGCGCGCACTTGGTTTGCCCGGGTTTGAACGCTTGTTTTGGGGCAACGGGCCCCTCTTTAGACCCCTGGTTCGTTCAACCGCTAAATCGAAAATTGCACTAAGTCCTTCATATCTGTCTGTTATCGAAAACTCGACGGCAGGTCAGCGAAACCCAGGGACGCGCTACCCCCCCTCCAGGCGCGGGTCATGCCGGGGAGAGTGGTCTCTATCCGGGCATGGCTTGGTGGGCTCTCCCCCTGGTCTAACCAACGCCCCCGATGAGCTCATCCATAGCGTTTGCCAGCGGTCGTTTCAAAGACCCCCCCTGCTAGAGACCCACCATCCCCCAAATGAGTGTTAGTTGTTTCAAACAGCAAAAAAATAAAATCAATGCATTTTGTTTTCAAAATGAATTTTTTTTACTTTCTCATTGTAGTGTACTCACTGCATCTAACTGCCCGTTCGCAGCTTCATCCAGTGGAAGCACCTGCGTCTCGATTGTCGATTCTCGATTGTGATTAATTTTAGTGGCCTGAGCTTCGGCTTTTTGTCCATTTTCATGAGTAGCTCCAATTTAAGTACTCTTATTTCCCGGAGGACGAGCTCTTGGTTAGTTTCCATTCTGCTTTCCACTGTTCCCCCTTTCACGTGTTCCGCCATCTTATCAGTTTTGTTGCGCTTGCCAGGCATAGTCAATTAGGCTCGAGAAAGTCCAGAAGCAGAAAAATAATTAACTATAAATCGCCTTTAAATAGACTCTGGTGTTTTAATTACTTGATTTCGGCATAATTTGGTCAAGAATGCGTTTGTGGTTAAAAATATGTGTAGTTCAGTATGGAGGACCGTCAAACACGTCTTCACATGTTGTCAACCAAACCGGAAGCCCCCCGAGTCCTATTTACAGTTGTTTCGACCCTGTTTACAGACGCTTTTCATGAACAAAAGAAAAACCACATATTTAAAAAAAAACTGCGATAATAGGAGTAAACCAGGTTCAAAATATTGTGTTGACATCTATTGGTAACTATACGAGCCGTTCAGCATGTTCAGCATGTTAAAACATGCTTAAAATGCATGCATTAGTTGTTTAAAACAAAAAGCATGATGAGTTCAATTGGTTTAGTCAGTTTTTATCCCTTTGTGATTTTTACCTGCAAAGCTCTTATTACAGGGAAAGAGACAACCATGAATACAGCTCCAGAGCTCAAATCTAACCATTATTCTATCTTCCTTAAAATAGCTGTCTATTCACTTGAAAATTGTTAAAACATTTATAAAACGCTTGCAATAGTTGTTTAAAACAAAAAGCATGATGATTTTAATTGGTTTAGTCAGTTGTTCTCACTTTGTGATTTTGGCCTGCAAAGCTCTTATCACAGCGAGACAAGCAGGAATACAGCTCCAGAGCTCAAACCTAACCTATATTCTGTCTTCCTTAAAAAAGCATTCTATTCACATGAAAATTGTTAAAATATGCTTAAAATGCATGCAATTGTTGTTTAAAACATAAAGCAAAATGAGTTTCATTGGTTTAGTCAGTTGTTCTCACTTTGTGATTTTGGCCTGCAAAGCTTATATCAAAGCGAGACAAGCATGAATACAGCTCCAGCACTCTAATCTAACCATTATTCTGTCTTCCTCAAAATAGCTTTCTATTTACCTGAAAATTGTTAAAACATGCTTAAAATACTTGCAATTGTGGTTTAAAACAAAAAGCACAACGAGTTTCATTGGTTTAGTCAGTTTTTATCACTTTGTGATTTTGACCTGCAAAGCTTATATCACACCGAGACAAGCATGAATACAGCTCCAGAGCTCAAATACAACCATTTTTCTATCTTCTTTAAAATAGCTTTCTATTCACTTGAAAATTGTTAAAACATGCTTAATGCATGCATTAGTTGTTTAAAACAAAAAGCATGATGAGTTTCATTGGTTTAGTCAGTTGTTCTCACTTTGTGATTTTGGCCTGCAAAGCTCATATCACAGCGAGACAAGCATGAATACAGCTCAAATCTAACCATTATTCTGTCTTCCTTAAAATAGCTTTCTGTTCACTTGAAAAATGTTAAAACATGCTTAATGCATGCATTAGTTGTTTAAAACAAAAAGCAAGATGTGTTGCATTGGTTTATTCAGGTTTTTATCACTTTGTGATTTTGGCCTGCAAAGCTCATTTTACATTGTGAGAAGCAACAATACAGCTCCAGAGCTCAAATCCAACCATTGTTTCTGTCTTCCTCAAAAAAGCTTTCTGTTCACTTGAAAACTGTTTTAACATGCTTAAAATGCATGCAATTGTTGTTTAAAACAAAATGCATGATGAGATTCATTGGTTTAGTCAGTTTTTATCACTTTGTGATTTTGGCCTGCAAAGCTGATAGTGATGTTTGTAAACAAATTTCGGGAGGAGCATGCGCAGAAGTTTCAGTATCGAATACGTAATTGACAATCATCCCATTATCAAATCAGTTCTTGAAAAAACCCCTATATATACCAAAGCTGTCTTACCTGCAGCATCTCACGACTTTAGCATTCAACCTTCAACGCTGAATCATGTCAGAGATTAATCTCTTCGCAGAGGACGACGCCTTCCTTGCCGAGGCCCCTCCGAGATCTCCTGCCGGCACCCAGAGCACCGCAGCCTCACAGAACACATCAGCTCAGCCCGCGGCTCCACCTCAAGGTCGCAGTTCAGTCCGAACCACGGCCGCTCAATCATGAAGGGGCTCACCTTCTCCATCTCCCAGAAGGCAATCTTCTCCAGCCTCATCCTTTGCCTCAGCCAGATCCTCCATCCCGGCCACGGGGAAAAACACGGTCTCCAACCTCCATCAAGAACTGGCCAGCGCAGGCGTCACCGTTCCGCGCCGAACCACCCAAGCCGAACTCCTGGCGGTGTATAACTCCCTGCAATCTGGAGCACCACTACCATCCACCACTTCACCATCCAAAGCCACGAAGAAAACCAGCCAGGTTCGACACAACCCATACCAGCGACCAGATCCAAGCCCATCCTTCAGACCCGAACACAGCAGCAGGCCTTCAGCGAGTCTGTTGCAAGCCCCGGGTCCCGATGACCCAGGAACCCAATCCCCGGAAGTAGGAATCAACGCCGGCTCTAGGCATGCTCCCTCGAGCCGCCAGTATAGCGTGAGCTTGCCTCCGCTAGTGGAACCAGAAGTCCATCCTTGGCGCAGAGTCGCTACAGGAAGCACAAGCCCAAACTCATAATCTGCCTGCCCACCCTTTCCAAGTTACCACGAGCAGCGCGAGCGTGAGGCCGCCTCCGCTCCCAGCTCAAACCCCAGCTTCTCTAATCCCTCCTCTTCTTCCGCAAGTTCTTCCAGGCCCCGGCGCAAGTTTCAGTGTGAGGCCACCTCCGCTGATGTCACTGGCGACGGTAGCCCCCCCACTCTTCCCTTTTTCTTCCACCTGCGATACTAGAGCCAGCAGTAGCGTGAGCATGCCTCCGCTGATGTCACTATTGCCGGCAGCCCCTCCTCTTTTCTCTTTGCTTCCCACCCATGATCCCAGCACCAGCTGTAACGTGAGCATGCCTTCGCAAACGGCTCCAGCACCTAACCTCCTACAGTCACTTTCTCACACTAAATATTTTTCTTTGTCCACAGCCACACCTCTACTTGTTCCACCCAACGTCCTCGCCCTGGATCCTCCACCTGTCTCCAACACCATCTGGAACCAAATCCTGTCAGGTTTGGATGTCTATCTTTTTTCCCTCCTCTCACCCATTCCACCTACATCCGCAGACCGCCAGATAAATTGTGGCCAATTCTCAGTAACCCTTAAAAACACAAATAACATTCAGTCCCGTATCCTTAAATTCCCAGAATTCACTGTAGCTTTCTCACGCTACACGGATGTTTATCCCCACAGGAGGCGCAAACTCAATGACTATCTCGCGATAGTCGCTGAGCTCACGCTTTCATATGGAGGCTCCCATTTTTATTTACTACCTTACCACCGCCTTTTTTTCGCAAAATGCGCCATTCGCATCTCCCAATGGAACCAGTCCCCATTCTGGGGAGCTTTAGACACAGAACTTCATAATAAAGTATTTTTAGGTTGCTGCAATATATCTTGCGCAGTCTGCCGATCCACCACCCACCCCACTGAATCCTGCCTATTCATAAATCCCATCCCTTCTCCCCTCCCCGAACCAGCCAAGACCAGATCCACCTTCAAACCCAAATATCCCATCCCTCCTTTCTGGTCACCGCCCTTCTGTCACAGCTTTTGCCAGCCCCTGCACTGAGTTCAACAGCCTATAGTCTTATTTGTTTAAATCTTCAGTCCGCTCTCGCCAAACCCGACATCGTCGATCTTTTAATTAAAAAAGAAGTAGACGAAAATTTCATGATTGAACTTTTCTCCGCATCTCCGTTTAGTGTTTACCGCATCAGTCCTATCGGGGTAGCCACTAGGAAATTATCAGATAAAAAACGCCTAATAATCGACCTTTCCTCCCTACATAACACTCCGTTTCCTAGTATCAACAGTCTCATCCCTCCCGATGAGATCTCTATGAATTATCATGACATCGACCAAGCTACTTCACTAATCAAAATAGCGGGTCACGGCGCTTGGATGGCAAAAGTCGACATAACATCCGCCTTTAAAGTCATGCCCATCCATCCTGATTTCTGGCACCTTTTCGGCATTCTCTGGCAAAATAATAATTATTTTTCTGTCCGCCTAACCTTTGGTTGCAGAAGTAGCCCAAAATTTTAGACACGCTGTCGAAAGCAATATGCTGAATCCTTTCCAATAACTACGAGATCCCGCACTTAATCCATCTATTAGACGATTTTCTAATCATCTCACCACCCGACGCTATCCCAGCCGCGCACCTCTTGACAGTTCAAAAGGTTTTCACCGAACTCAGGATTCCCATAGCAGAAGAAAAAAACGCCGGTCCAAGCACTTACATCGAATTCTTGGGCATTAGACTCCAACAAATTCCAAGCATCCCTACCAAAAGAGAAAATCGATCGAACGATCCTGGTAGGTTCCTTCCTTTTAGACAGCTCCACCTGTTCTAAGCGCGAGCTATTATCAATTTTCAGTCACTTGAATTTCGCAATGCGCATAATTCCCCAAGGCCGATCATTCATTTCTCACCCCAGTTCTCGCGTCTTCAGCTCACAGTCTAGAGGATCAAATATCCATCGATGAAAGTAGCCTAAATGAACTCCGTTTATGGAAATTATTCCTCAAACAATGGAACGGTCTCTACTTCTTTTACAGCGACCTAATATCCTCCCCAGCAGACATCAAATTATTTACCTATGCTGCCCCGTCAATCGGATTCGGAGGTTATTACCAAGGGGGCTGGTTCGCGTCCACCTGGCCGCCCCAGCTGTTAGACCTGCTGCAATCACTTAAATTATCAGCGCTATTTGAACTCTATCCACTAGTCGTCGCTGCATCCCTATGGGGGAAAGAATGGTCCTCTTCCAGTATTATAATTCACTGTGACAATGAAGCAACTGTTCACTGTATAAATAAAGGCCATTCAAATTCTATAGCATTAATTCCCCTACTTAGAAACCTCACTTGGATATCAGCATGTGACCAATTTATTTTAACTGCAAAGCATATTCCTGGATCCAAAAATCAAATTGCTGATTTTCTCTCTCGTTTTGCTTTCCAGAAATTTAGACATTTGGCACCAGAGGCGGATACGTTTCCAGTCCAAGTCCCTCCTTATTCAGAGTTGATATTCCCATTGATCATCCTTTAAAAAACCTGCTTAAAGCCTCCCTAGAATATATCCTTCAGGCGGTGGCGCCTAGAACCCTGCAGTCATATTTAACAGCATGGAAAAGTTTTAAAACATTCCATGCATGTTATAACATACTGTTTCTTGATTTTTCCCTACTCACCATCTCATCTTGCATAACCTACCTGACCATTTAAAAAAAACTCCAGATCAATTCCATCAAAGGCTATTTGAGTGGAATTCAATTTTTCCACAAACTAATTTACGGTTCCCCTGCACCTCACTTAGCTAATTCTCAAACTGCTCTTTTATTGAAAGGCATACAAAGAACCCACCCCACACGTCAAGACACACGACAGCCCATAATGCTGAAAACACTCACTAAATGCATATCCACTCTTACGATACTCTAGGATCCTAGACTCTAAGATACGAATCAATCCACACAGCACATACACTCGATGCTATGTTTATTTTAGCGTTCTTTGGATTTTTAAGGTGAACTCTGGGTTCAACTCAAACATTCATCCCACCGTATCCGATTTAGTAACATTACACAACGAAACCATTTCCTTTTTCATTAAAAAAAAGCAAAACCGATCAAGCTAAAAAGGCCATTACATCTACATTTTCAGCCTATAATCACCTAATTGTCTATATCAAACACTGCTAGCATTTTCACAAATCCGGAAATCACAAGCCTCTTCCTTAGCAGAACCTCTATTCACAGACGATAGCAATCGCCCAGTTACTCGTTTTTGGTTTCAAAAGCATCTTAAATGCGTCCTTATTAAGTCCCGCTTCCCAGCCGACAACTTCTCCAGCCATTCTTTCAGTATAGGCGCAGCTACCACCGCAGCACAAAATGGTCTATCAGAGCAGCAGATCCAAACACTCGGACGTTGGTCCTCTCAGGCCTTTAAGTGCTACATTCAATCTGACCACTCTCATATCAGAAGAGCCTAACAAACCCTCATCAAAAAACCCCTCTAAGATAAATTCGACACCCACTAGAGCCCATTACACCACATGTCACAACACATGCGTCTTTGACAGTTCACAAGGCACCTTCTTCAAACACCCTTCGCATACTATCTCGACAAAACTCGTACAGCGTCGCTCCAACTGGAGTCGCACAACTTATTACGCACACCTTATTATTAATATTAAGCATCACAGCTAGTGCAACGACCGTCCCTAGGGAGATGCACACTTTATTACAGACCGCTGCAAGCGCAACGAACATTCATACAGGAGACGCACACATTATTATTATGCACCACCGCTAATGCAGTGGCTGCTCCTACGGGAGACGTACACCTCACTATCACGCATTATTTCAAGAGCAGTGACCACTCATACAGTAGACACACACTTTTTATGCACCACTGCTAGTGCAGTGACCGCTCCTACGGGAGACGTACACATTAAAATTTTGCACCACTGCAAGCGCAGTGACAGCTCCTACGTGAGACGTACACCTTACAATTATGCACCACTGCAAGCGCAGTGACTGCTCCTATGGGAGACATACACCTTAAAATTATGCACCACTGCAAGTGCAGTGACAGCTCCTACGGGAGACGTTCACCTTACAATCATGCACCACTGCAAGCGCAGTGACCGCTCCTACGGGAGACATACACCTAACAATTACGCACCACTGCAAGCGCAGTGACCCTTCCTACGGAAGACGTACACCTTACAATTATGCACCACTGCAAGCGCAGTGACAGCTCCTACGGGAGACGTACACCTTACAATCATGCACCACTGCAAGCGCAGTGACTGCTCCTACGGGAGACGTACACCTTACAATTATGTACCACTGCAAGCCCAGTGACCGCACAAATACAGCTCTAAAGCTCAAATCCAACCATTGTTTTCTGTTCCTCAAAATAACTTTCTGTTCACTTAAAAATTGTTGCAACATGCTTAAAATGCAGGCAATTGTTGTTTAAATCAAAATGCATGATGAGTTTCATTGGTTTATTCAGCTTTTATCACTTTGTAAGTTTGGTCTGCAAAGCTCATATTACATTGTGAGAAGCACAAATACAGCTCCAGAGCTCAAATCCAACCATTGTTTCTGTCTTCCTTAAAATAGCTTTCTGTTCTCTTGACAATTGTTATAACATGCTTAAAATGCATGCAATTGTTGTTTAAAACAAAAAGCATGATGAGTTTCATTGGTTTAGTAAGTTTTTATCACTTTGTGATTTTGGCCTGCAAAACTCATATGACAGCGTGAGAAGCACGAATACACCTCCAGAGCTCAAATCCAACTATTGTTTCTGTCTAGTGTATGTGTGTAAAATGAGTGTATATGAATCCCAGTAATGAGTTGCAGCTGTAAGGCCATTCGCTTGATAAGTTGGCGATTCATTCCACTGTGGCGACCCCAGATTAATAAAGGGACTACCCCGAAAAAAAAAAAGAATAAATAAATTATCTTCTTAAGTCTACCATACTGATACTATTACTGATTAATTATACTAGAAATATTAATTATAGCCAACGCAGTCATGTTCAACTCCTGTCTCTATCTTACTATATAATTCTAAATTTTATAATCAGTTTTTTTTTTATGCCAGGGGAGCAGAGGGTCTTTTGACCACCTGTGTACACACTGTTTAGAAAAGACTTAACTCTCTACACCAGCCACCTCAGTCCCCAGTGAAAGAGTTTTTTTATTATTCTTTTTTTTTCCAGCAGGGAACACTGTACATGTGCAGTAAACCTAAATATGCTTAATATATATTTTTAGATATGCTTTATATATGTCTTTTTCAAAATGTAAAATCCCAGCAGTCACAGTTTAGTCTGTTTATATTAATGAGTTTTCTTTAGTTTGTATTATTATTATTATTATTTTTAATATTTCCACTATTTTTTTTTTTTTTTTTACTTTGAAATTTGTTTTTAAAATAGCAGTTTATTTATGGCAGAAAATATATTATTTTGCAAAAAAAAGAAAAAATAAATAAGTGCAGCAGTTAGTGAAAAGATATATATATATATATATATATATATATATATATATATATATATATATATATATATATATATATATATATATATATATATATATATATATATATATATATATATATATATATATATATATATATATATATATATATATATATATATATATATATATATATATATATATATATATATATATATATATATATATATATATATATATATATATATATATATATATATATATATATATATATATATATATATATATATATATATATATATATATATATATATATATATCCTAATGTTTTCTTTAGATTTTCATTACATCTCTCCAACAAAAGAATGTTTGTTTTAATTTATTAAATGTTTAACATCAATTGCATTCATAGATTGCATAACAATTTTATTTACAGTGCATTTAGCACATCTTTTCCATATAACAATGTTTTTGTTAAAAAAAGGAATTAACTGATATTCAATATTAAAATATTTGCACTAAAGACCACATTTAATATTTATTCAGTTACATGATGCAAAATTCAAAATAAAATGTGTTAAATCCTTACAAATTTGCCAGATTTTTATTGTTTCTTCAAGGAAAAAGTCGTAATTTTTTATCATTTTTAAGGCCAATATTATTAGCCAATATTAAATGTAAATATTATTATTATTAAAATGTAACTAAATATATTTTTTAAATGACATCAGATTGTAACGTTTAACTTTTTCCTAACACTGATAAGTCTAGTGCCCTCCTATAGGATTAAAATGCCCCATCAGTTA